GGCCTTTTTATTTTAAATCTTTCAAAAATGCTAAAAGTTGCCGCTACACACTTACCGCAAAATGACAACGAAAACGAAGTATCAGCTTTTTAGTAAAAGCGTTTGTTAAAAACATAAATGACGGTAAGGATATGAGGTAAACCAAGAACTATAAGTAATCTTAACTGTTTGTTGTCAATGCACAATTAAAAATGAGTGAATATAAGTAAAATGGCCGGTTTCAATATAAGCTTAAAGCTTAAATGAAAGGCAAAGTAGCTCCGACAAAAAGCACAACAAAAGCTTACGTCTCGTTCTGTTTATCCCTTTCCGCTGTTGTTTCGCCGGCTCTCTACCGTTTTCTTTATCGACAGTGAATTAAACGAAACTATTCCACTCCATTTCCGAAATGTTTTCACTTTTTTAGCGAAAAACTCTTTGAGTAAAACTTTTCTCGCTGAATGTGTTTGAAGCGGCGCTGCAAGCTGCAATAAAAGGCGGGAATTTTGGCGCGAAACTCACACACCTCTGTGGCTTCTGATTGGACGTATCATTTTTCTCACACGTGAAAAAACATCGTTCGCGAATCTGATTGGACGTATCATTTTTTTCACGTGTGAAAACCATCGTTCGCTCCTCTGATTGGCTTGAACTAATTTGCGTACGAAAATTTACGACATGGCTTTTTGGCGAGTATGTCTCAGTATGTATATAATAAGAGAAGAGGATGCCCATATCACTAGGGTTTTGGGCATGAGGACGCCCATATCACTGTAAGAGCGAATTGTTTTTAACTAACCGATTGTACAGTTAATGACAGGGCATATTAGTAAAGAAAACAACGTAGCCATTGTTATGGAAGTCAAACCAGTCAAAGAACAAACTCAGTTACTTTCGCACATGGTAATGACAGTTACACATTTTATTTTATCGTACCCACACAATTTTAATTGTCGGGTGTAAGAAATCTGTTGTGTCTTACTGAGTCACATTTCTCGTATATCTTTCACCTTTTAAGCCCCAAAACCCACATACCAATTCTCGATACTGATCTGCATTTTCCCGTAGCTGATCATTTTCTTTATTCTCCCAACCTTTTTTCTTCGTTATGTATCGGTATTGTTTGGAGAAAATTGATGTTGGTCACTCACGGGGACTCAACATGCAATACCGCCCCCTGTTTAAAAAAACAGCTGTTACTTCGAACAACGTAATAACTACAGATCCCTTTCTTGATCTTTAAACTTCTAATTAGCTTTACTTCAGTCTTGAAGTTCACTTTTAGGCTGGGACGATTTAGATGAATAGAACTATAAATTTACACCACATTTACACAACACTTAAAAAGTATGTTTAGGCATATTATCTTACGGGGAAAAAAAACAAACAAATACACAACCATTAACTTAACATTTTAATTAAGTCCCGCCTAAATGAACCGACTGAAATTCAAATTCAGGTACTATTCAAAATTCAATTACTCGACATCCAGGACGAAAAATATGCGTTTCGAGTGATTAACAGTTAAAATTTCACTGCCAAAAGCATAATGAAACCATTTATCATTAATTCAAAAAGAAGAATACTTGCGAAGTGAATGATTTATGACTGAATTGTCGAGAACATGGATATTTCTGAATTTAACATCAATAACGCGGCTGTTTATAAGACAGCCTGACTTGTTGTACCCCCACAGTCAACCCTTTAAGCCCAATTTCCTTAAAGAATTATTTTAAAGAATCTGATAAAAGACCAAAGTATTTACCCGATGGCTAACATTGTATTAACCCTCAAAACTTTTTCAATTGATTAGCTACTAATGATGTTTACTTTTCGGAAAAGTATTGTTGTCAGTCGCTCTTGGGACTTAAATGTAAAAGGCTAACCCATTTTAGAACTAAAATAATCAATAATCAGTTTTCAGAGTTTAAAATAAGCTTGGTAAACAAACGTTTACCAAAAGTTTACTTAGTTTGTCACGCAACGCTCCTACAAGGACATAACGTCACTTAATGACAGCCGAGAAAACTATGGCAGGTTGATACGACAGTGTTGTAAGGTAAACTATTTGTTCTTTGACAACGTACAAACCCATGAATAATCCCTACTGCTTTTGCAGGTAAGCCAAACCAAAATCCCCATTACATTTTACATGTTGTGAAATAAATTATCTAGAGTAATACCCTATTTCTAGATTTGCCGTTTTCCTTAAGGACAGTCATGCAATCTATTAGGTGAAGCAGGGAAAACGTATCGTGACCACCAGAATATTCCGTTTTAAATTATTACAACTAATAAGTTAATTTATTCTTTACATGCGTTCTCGTCTCTGGTCATACCCCAGTAAAAGGGTGAAAACTAAATTAATATATAACTCTTGGAAGTCTCAGCACATCGTTGGTACTGCACTCCAGCGCGAGAGCACCTTAACGTGACATTTACACCTCTTATTTTAAATATTATCTCCAATTATTTACTTTCCAGCCAAGAGAACGCGATGGTGTAAATTAGAGTCTGTTTCGCCATCTGAATTTCCTCTTACTACAAAAAAGCAAGGGCCAAGGACAGACTTTGGAACTTAACGACCTTACTTGTATTCACGACACCACAATGATACAAAACGATTCTGCTTTCAAATTAAAAAACGTTTTGAAGTAAACCTTGTTGTGCTGCCAAGCAACACAAAAGGTTGGCACTTCAAAACACTTCCGTGTGAAAACATGCAGTTCGTTTGTCCAAACCGCTCTCTTGGATCGAAGCGTGTGAACGCAGAGATATGTTATTCATTGGTGAATGATCTATAGATTATTTGTATCAGAGATCCCAGCTGAACAAGTGGTGTTTCACCAACATGTCTCGCACGCCATCCTTCATAGGCTGGGTAACCTGTGACAAAGTGAAAACAACGGAAAGTTAGTAGCCTGTGAGCAGGCTTACGGTTTTGTGCTGGGTTTTGCGTTGGCTTTCGCGCGTGGAGTTTACGAACTGACTCTGGTTTCGCCGTTCGCTGAGCCAGGTTGCGATGCAAACTGTCACTGATCCATGTGGATTTAGAAACCTGATTCAGTGCCTAATCAGGCCTTTTTTACTCTTGCAAGACTAAGGAGCTTTAACCGAAGTTGTTGATTTTCGTGTCAGAGAAATCATTTACTCGTAAACTTGCTACCGTTCCGCAAAGCGATTTGTTACCTCGAAAGCGGCGGTATTAACTTTCTACAATTAGAAGTTAAAAATAAACTGAATCCACTTACCTCCTTAAGATCCCGCAAGCAATAACCGGAAAAAGAGAAAGAAAATAACATTTCATCGTGAGAAAACGTTAGAATATACTGAAAATAAATATTTATTCATAACAGAACCCTTCACCAAAATTCCACGACCAATGGTTATTCAGTTCTTATACAAAAAAAATAAACCATTCTTGTTCCCAGGGCCTTGTTAATGTTCAATCTGGCAGCAAGAAGCAGAAACGCCTACTCTAGGAATTGCTGGTGGAGAACGAGTGAAAACAGGGAGGAAAAAAAAAACGCTTGTCCTCCGCTGGAAAGAGCTTTCAGGATCATGATCGTCAGTTCATGCATATCACTTGGCAGTACACGCCAGAGTTTTTCTCCTCTCACGCTATTTGAGGGAGAAAGTCCAGGTGAATGGGGTGTTGTTGGTATATTGAATTCAACAAAAAGAGTTAATGAATTAAATGAAACTTAAACTCAGAGCTGTCCCTCATCTTCTTTTAACTCTTTAAACCTTAAGATCAAAATTTGAATTCGCATTTGTTGCCCCTATTCATTTCCTACAAAAGTACTGGGGAGAAGTTGATAAAATATCAGGCAAATTCATCTTATGTGATCATGTCCGTGATTCTAATGACCACTCCGTTTTACAAAGCATTGCTATTACAAGGAGAAATTTGATGCTGATCACTCTTAGGACTTAAAGGGTTAAGGATATTAGACCGACACGTGTAGGGAAGCCGGGGACTATTCTACAACATTCTAATCCAAACTATTCAATAAACTCTTGGTAAAGATAGATTATTAAAGAAAAATAAAACAACAAAGGGCGATATTCAACAAATGATTTAGCAGCTGTAGGAAAACTACTGGCAGCCAGTTAGTGTTTACAGGAATAAATAGAAGAGAACAAGTTGTGTTTAAAAACGTGATTGTTAAGTAGAAGGATCGACTTCAAAGGTTGAATTACAAAGGCCACGATAAAAACGTGGCGTGGACCCGAGGAGGACCCATTCTGGTCCAAACAAAACAGAGGAAAGCATCTGCATGTATGATACACCAGTGCTCCTTAATACTTGGACGCATTGAGAGAAGGCGGTGCTACACAATAAACAAATGTTTTTCGCATTTCCTAAGTTACTTTGATTTTTAGGTTCTAACTGTTAACCAGAATTCTTCTGCGTAAGGGATGATACTGCTCCTTTATATACGCTAAATATATTCAGTGGTCATGGTCTGATGATGAATTCAGTTTTTGGACTCCATTTTTCTCCAAAGATGAGCATTGGTCTTGGCTACTTCAAGAGTATTACTCGAATCATCATGCGTGGTCTTTTCCGTAATCTAGCACGGGGAAACTTGAATGACAAGGACGAACGTGCAAAAAAACGCGAAAAGCGCCACAAAAGTACGACATAAATTATACATCTTCCACTTAAAAACACCTCTTTATAGTGCTTAGTAAGTGAAATATCTGCTGTACAAAGCCAAATGTAGACAATAAAACCAATATCTAACCTGGAACTTCTTTTGACTGACGTACCCATCTACAACCTGCTATGAAACACACAGTTTAATATTTAAGCCTAATTACCCTTACAGCCATAAGATATGCACAGTATCTCAATGCAAACATCTTTACAATATCACGTGGGAATGACGCAGATATCATGCATGCTCTGCCTATCCACACTGACTCTGAACAATTCTCTATCATAAATAAAAGCACCTGTAAACCTCTATCTTTAGCAAAAAAGAAAGTTAATTGCTCCTTTCAACACTCATTAAACACAAAACCCCTATAAGACGAGCACTTTTAACATATAAACTGGTATGTGTTTCTTCAATGTAAGGCTAGACGGTTATAACAAGGTAGCCGGCATCTGTAAATCCTTGTCTTTAACCAAAACAAATTAATTTTTGCGTTCCCAACACCATTCATATTACACACAAACCCCTTATAAGGTGAGCATTCTAAACATTTCAGAAAACTAATCGGTGTTTCTTGAATGTAAGGCCAGACGGTTATACCAAACTAGCGAGCACTGGCGTGTAATGCAGACACAGCGCAAGAGAACAGAAAACACAAATCGGGTCCCTTGTAGAAGTGTAAGTTATCAGCGAACCAGATGAAATTAGTTAAAAAGACACTGTTATTCACTAGATACGCGGTAGTGAGAGTTGGTTAGTCACGAGAGAAACTATTAGTAAGAACAATGTTTCATTTCTCCCACCTCTTAAAATCCCTTGCACTGAGAGCTTGTTTGAAGGACATCTATTGACCAGTAGGGTATACAGTCAGAATACTCTTCCACTTCTCGTCTTTACCCTTATACAAGAAAATTTTTCCCCACTCATCCCGGGTATTCTAAGATACTTACAGTCTTGTGTTCCCCAGTCAGCTCCCAGTCGATGTTGAGATTAAAAGCAAAGGAAGCGAGAGTTCTGAAGGACGAAGGAAATGTCATTGAAAATCGATGACGAAAACCAGTTCACATTTTATTACAAATCTATCTCGAGTTTTCAGCTTATCGTGTCCGATTACCTGGGGCTACTGAATTTTGCAATCGGGGCAGGGAATTCTGTCCTTGACTTGCCCGACGGGCACGTGAACGTTTCGGGGGAATTCAAATTACAGAAGTACTGCAAGACAGATTACTTCAACTCCTAATAAATTCATGTGGATCGACAACGATTTTTTTTTCTGATCTGATGCACGCATATGAGGTTTTAGGGTTGCGTTCTAGCTAACAAGGGACTCATTAAGATTTATTACTCATCACTTATAAGTGAAGGTTTTTACCTGAGTTCACACTTAATTTGTACCCATCCTGGACTTCTCAGAAACGACCATGGATGGTACCTAGAATTCATGAGAAGAAGATAGCCCTTTGTCAGGTTATCCAAGTAAGTTCGTCACGCAACAGCGTTTCAAGACAAGGTCATTTATACTTCGTATTTTTTTTCACTTCTTAGTGCCATTATGGTCAGCGAATATCAGTAACGAGTAATCCACCAGCCACGTAACTTAGCAAAAGATGAGCCAACACTACTAAGAGGGTGTTGCAACAGACACAAAAGGGTAGCGGTGTTTAAAACTGAATATCAACGGCACTTAGCCTGTCCACAGTCTTTTTTCAAGGAATTTATAATTGTGACTCCCACCCCCTTGCGCAAGGGATCAATAACCCCTTCCCCCCCAACCGCGGTTAAACGAGCTCACACAACAGATAAGTATCCATCTCATTTAACAGTCATGATCAAAGCTACAGAAGGGAAGGAATCAATGTTACGTACCACTTTCCAACGATATCTTCACATGCACATAGCGTTTCCAGCCAGAGATGAAGGCATTGTTCGCTATTAAAAAGATTGAAACAATAATAATTGAAATTCAACCATCTTGCCTTGTCTCAAAACACTTGTGGAACAACTTTAGGTCGAACGGTTAAAAGCTAAGGTATTGAAGGCAAACTATATAAACAGCCGAAGAAATACATAGTAGTTCACTTACTTTAGGCCGTAGCATATAAGGGAGCGAAACTGAAAGAAAAAAAAGCAGTGTAAGTCACACAATTGAGAACGCAGATTGATAGATGCAGTAATTGAAATTTTGTTTCTTTTTCTTATATTTTCAGATCAGTGATGAGTTTACCTTGATATCCATTTGTGAATTTGCAGCATCGTGACTCATGTTTATTGACTGAACCGCCTAAAATACGAATTAAATACATAATAAGCTTCCTTATTTCGTAAGGTTGACATCAGCGGCTGAATCCCCCAGTTTATCTGCAACTTAAATTCCTTAATTTACGGTAAAATTTCCCGTCAGCAGCGAATACCCTAAAAGCGATCATCTAGAGGTCACAATACAGGAACTGGTCGTTTAAGAGAATGAACCATGCTCACAGGGTATCTTCCAAGAAGACGTCCGAACAAATCTACTATAAGAAACAGTAAATTACGATATGTGCAGTTTCTATGTTGAAACTAAACGTTCTCTGTATACTCTGAGTAGCGTCTAAGATTCAGGGAACGTTACGTCGAAGAGATCAGACCCTGCATCACGTGATCTCTTTCAAGAGGTTAGGACAAGAGAGGTTCCAACTGTAGTGATTTGACTGGGAGAAGTTTGGTGTTTTGGACTGGTGGTCGCCCATGAGAGGTGGTAGCAAAGGTTTGACTGTATTAAAGAGAGAAAACTGGTCCCGAGTAGCAGTAACCTGCGATCAGGCGGGTTTTATTATTTTAAGACATGGTAGGGAGGGCATAACTGTTCACAAATGGAGCTACACTCAGTGTGGACTTGCACACATTTTAAGCATCCTAGTGAAGAACAGTAATTTCATTTACATAATTGTCTCCCCTTAGAATTGTAAAGGTGGGTATACGATACATTCAGAATAATACAACTTAACAGATCAATCCAAATAATCTTAATTCACTTACTCTGTACAGAATTTCTTCTGGTGACAGAACTTTGCCGTCTTCGTCCAATCTGCCAAAAAACAAAATCACATCACTTCAACGCCGCCTATGTCACTGACTGAAAACAGATCTTTCTCATGTATTCGCCACGCTAAAAATTCACCATTACATTTCTAATATTCCAAAAATTTCTACCTAAGATTTAAGGAACATCTAGGCTTGGTATAACACGCAACAACAACATCAACGACGACAACAACAACCTAATCAGGCACAGAGCGCATGATTAACAGCAGATGGTTTTGCGGCCAACTTAAATTTGAAACATTTAAAAACGAAATATCGTCAATTGGAATCTTAAATTTGTAAACGTCACGTTTCACATACTGTCACTAAATCAAATAGATTTATCGCTAAAAAAGAGATACGGAGAGAATAAACGAAAAAAATCGGTTAAAGGAGTAACAACCATAAATAAAAATTTAAGAAACACAACTCGTTTTTTCTAATCTCTTTTACATTAATTTTTTAAAACGAGGCAGCTCAATAAGACATTTTTCCCAAACTGAAAGAGGAGCAATTGCTGCGGATACAAAGGAAAAATGGAGAGCTTTGACAAACTACTCAAAAAC